GGTCGTAAAAGGGGCGGGCAAGGGCGAAGGGGGTTCGAGAAATATGGGGATGTGAGGGAGAAGGGAAGGTATGGATATACTGGTTGCTGGTGGGCTCGTGGAAATAGTGAGATGTAACGAGAAGAATGGGAAAGATGGAAATGGATGGCTTCGTAGCATAGAAAGGTGCAGGATACCTGATTACTAATATTGAAATGCTCTGTTTTTTTTTTGGCCTGGCTTTTCATTGGGTTGGTTTCTTTGCCTGTTGATTGTTGATTGTTGATTGTTGATTGTTGTTGTATTATGCTTTGAGAATGTTACTAAATAGGTGATGGATGGGTTGAGGATGTGAGTAGAGGTCCGAGGTGTATTTGTGGTATTTCACTTCATATACATGGTCTCTTTTATCTTCATCTCTTCCACTGAGAGATGAGGAGGGAGGAAGGAGAAAAGAGAGGTGAGTACCCGTATGTTGGTACTATACTATACTGTATTATACTTGAGTAGTAATACCCATACCACTACCACTACCAATCCTAGATCTTAAGGACGAAACCACAAGAGAGGCAGCAGCGGCTTGTACTTCCTATCCTCTCCTCTTTTTTCCTACTATCAAGTATCGTTATACTGTTATGATAAACCTTGTCTTGGGTCTTGGTAAGTGAGCTCTACTGTATTGTTACAGTACATCCTCTACATAGTATAGTGGATAGAGTATACCCATGCGGAGTCGGGGGCTATGTGGATAGTACAGGATGATGTATTGTGATGTGTACTTGATACAATACTGTGAAGACGATATTCGTTCTCCGCACAGTGTAATGACAACGTTATATCGAAGTAAGTTTAATAATACTATAGTTCTTGCGGATATGATATTGATATCGAACTTCTTTAAAGTATGTAGAGGAGGCGGGTTCACGAATGAATATGGGGATGTTGATTTTGGGAACGGGAATTCTTGGGGTTAAGAAGATAGGGAAGATTTGGGGATGATGTGGTTACACAGATGATTTACATTTCTGGGTTACAGTAAGAAGTAGGTATGGTGTGTATCTTTACATGTTTGTATGAAGGAAAGCACTTTATGTCACTGGAATGCTGGGGAAGTACTAATTAGATGGCTCTGAAGGCGGAAGACGGAGGTATTTGAGTAGATGGGTATTTGGGTGGAATTGAGGGAATAAATCAGGATTCAGAAATCAGGAGGTTGTGGGGAGATGGTTGGAATAATACTTGGAAGCATTCTGATATTCACGTAATACGGATATTCATATGCATATAAATTCAAACACAAAACCCCATACGGAACACAGTATACCAACCCGCCACATGAAACAGTATACCGTACATATCCCAAATAAGCTCTCCTCCCATCTTACTTTCTAATACATCCACATTCATATACACACCCCGTAAACGTACCCATGGACTTTTCAACCGGGGATACATGCTACCATCGCTAAACTTACTTCCAGATATAGTAGCGCCATCTTCCCCCAAAGTAAGAAGAAGAGAGAGAAGAATACAAGTCGTGAAAGTTAAATTACCGGTACCCCATTACATAATAAACAAACCTACTAAATACAATCCACATCCATCCTCTGAGCGAGCTCACAGAAAGGGGACGCGAATGCACCATATATTACTCACCTAACACCCTCAGGGAATCACCTTTTCCATACCTGTTACAGCGGATTGTTATCCTGCATTCTGCCTATATCCTGCCGCTCTCACTTAGTATGATAGCGATTTGGCGAATACAAAGCCTCTTCACTGACGAAGGTTCTTCTTCTGACGATTGATTTTCATTCTACTGTGACTCCTGGATCGCTGGATCCTGGTTGGCGACACGATGGTATGCAGGATAAGGGGTACTGGAATGGGAAAGTGGTAGTGCATTAGATGAAGTCGTAACGTGATGAATAGCTTTTCAAGTCGTTCCTAACTTACCTCATATAGAAAAGAAAAGGTTGAAAAGGGTTGGAAAAGCTTATCATCTTCACCACCGTATCTAGGGAGAATGATATTCTCCCTAATTAGATAGACCCTCGTAATAGAATCCGAGTACCCGTTCTTTTGCCATTTCTCGGCCCTCGCGTTCACAAAACCATTAGAGAAAAAAGGATCCTGCACAATGCAAGGCAAGGTCCGTTTTGGTCTAGAATTATGAAGTGTGTGTATTATGTCGTTATCTAGTTCAACGACTACCTACGGGTTTATCCCTAGAGGGCTTGGTGGTCTGATGAGTGAGCGGGTGCGAAAGAGAGATGGGGATGTTTGGTTGTATGTATACTTATCCTGAATGGATATAATCTATACTTGAAGATCTTCAGGTTTTCGGAGAGTCCTTGCGTGGTGGAGAGGGTTCGAGCTTCTTGGATCAAGGGTTGAAGTATAGTCGTTTGGCTTAGATTGTTTATAGATTATTTCTATATCTATATCTCCATATATACAAGGCGGACGGTGACGAGCTTCCTAAAGAGGTAAATGCAGAAGGTACAGATACAAACAGAGCTGTATTTACGAATACTAAAAGAGAGAGCCTAAACCAGCACAGCCATTTCAAACATCCTAGAGTCGTAAGAAGGCATAGACATAGTTTCGGGGAGAGAAAAGACGGTTATTGAGATAATGAATATTACTTAACATAATGCTATTTCGAATAGATATTACAAAGTATGTCACGACTCACAAGTACTTGAAGTACAAACACCATTACAATGGCAAGGCCTCTCCTAAGCTACTCTGAGTGATAGAACAAATCCGACAAAACCTCTTTGACAGATACCTCCCTTAATATAGGTACCTCGATCGTCAGATACACGTGTGTCCAAGCATCCGAATACCGTAGCACATCGAGAAAACTAATATCCTTCGTTCCTTCCAAAAATGGAAGTCGAAATGGTAGGAATATATTGAAGGGTATATATATATGTAGAGTGCCGAGTGTACCTGAATAACCGGAAAGAGACTCGTATAGATTCAGATGACTGACACTCACTTTCTAGCAATTACTTCGGGAAGGAGATAGGGTTATATAGCCGTAGAATAAGCAGAACTTTTTGCTCTTATTCGATACGTATAGAATATTAATAGAATAATTAGAACTAGTCAGACTCACTCCTTATTGTATATAATAGAAACCAGGAAAACATTCAGAGACAAAATACCACCAAGCTACTGTCAAAACACGGTATCGAATACTAATCCCAGTATTAGTAAGGACAAAACTCCAACCCATTCGCCAAACCCTCTCATACCTTCCAAACCTTAATAAGTTCCCTTCCATAGCTCCAGATAGATGACAATTCATGAAAATCCTACATATAACAAGTTCCTTTCATCATATTATCATTTATCCCACTTCCAGAATTTTTGATCGTGGGATGGGAGTGAATTAAGCGAGGGGGGTAAGCGGACGGGTATTTTCGAGAACTTCATCTTTGTTTTGTATTCACTAGTTGACGAGCAGAAAATGTGGTGGCTATTATGAATGGGATTGAAGCTAAAAATGTTTAGTAATAATGAGTCCTTGGATAAATGCGTTCGCTTAAGAAAATACATATTAACACTAGTTTCTACTGTACTAGTATATCTTAATATTAGTATCAATAACATCCTCCCCCACCCAACACTTAACCCCCAAGAAATAATCTACTTAGTATATAAATCCTACCACCACCAACCCTTAGCCCATCACACTTACAAGTTACAACACCGACTCTTTGCAATCCAATCTAATCCAATCCAACAACATTAACACTCCTCCTCTCCTCTCCTCTCCTCTCACAAACCCCATCCCCCTTTCCACCTCAGACATCATTCCCCAAATCCCCATCCCACGAGTCTACAACGAAAACTACTTATAGCCAAAGACGATACTTAAGTAAAGGTTACTTTAAATCAAGGAACTATGCTAGTGATTTACTATTTTTGAGGCTACTAGGATATATAGGGAGGAAGTATTACGTAATAGAAATATAACTATTATATAATGGAAATACCCTTTTATAAAAAAGAAATGTACCAGTAGCTATTTTATAATTAAATGTATAAGTTTAAATTTTGTATTTTTATTTTTATTTTTATCAGATTTTAAATTTCTATAGAAAGATTAAGGAGTATTCACATAGAGTAATGAAAAATACCTAACGCGTAACTACATTTCCATTATTCTTAATCAATCAATCAATTAGTATTTCCATTTCCTACCATTAAATTCCCTCAAAAATAAAACCCCAAGCAACCCCCCCCCCAAACATCAAAGAAACATACTTGTCACCTCACCTCCAGCTCCGGCCTTCCAGCACACCCCTAGCAGTTCTTTACCACCTGAATATACAGGACTGCTAAGTCTGGTATTTTCTAAGTAGCTATTTACTGCATTATTTTC